CGCTGGGCTCTGGAGAGCCGGCAGGCACAGAGACACTGACTGCAAGCGTGACCCAGTCAGTCCTCCGTCTGCTGTGCACGTGAGCTGCGTCATCAGACCGCAGGCTCTGCCGGGTGAGGGTGTTCCTTGCTCTCGAGAGTGAGGAGGAGCCTCAGTGCTGGGTCCCCTCGCCTTCGAGGGCGTCCCTGGCTCTGCTCGTTTCTCCTCCGTGCACATGAATGAGAGCAGCGGGTCCCCGTTCACGGAGGGTGCCACGTCTGTGCCCAAGGCTGGTTCAGGGTTTGGGTTTGTTCAGGCTCCTGGCTGTCACAGTAGCCATATAAAAGCCCTTTGACATTCAGACAAGGAAAGAAATTACAGCAGTTTGCACTATCATTAGCTTCCTTTATCAGCAGGCTTTTATTTTGCTGTGGAATAAACATGTGCAGTTCTTGTCTGATGAAGCAATAGGGTAGAAGTCCGCTAATGGTTAAAACTTCCTCTTCTACACACTTGGCCAGGAGCCGTGTCTGGGCTGAGCCCTGCCTGATCGAGGCTGCAAAGAAGGAGTATGACGGGGTGATTGAGGAGTTCCTGACGGTTGGAGAGAAGCTCTTTGGACCTTATGTTTGGGGCAGGTACAGCCTCCTGTTCCCAAAGGGCTTTGCTCCCCATGGCCGGGGAGGGAGCATCCCGCTGTCCCCAGCTGCATCCGCAGGAGGAGGTGGGTCTGACCCAAGCCGTCTGCTCTTCCCGGCAGGTACGACATCCTGTTCATGCCGCCCTCCTTCCCCTTCGGCGGGATGGAGAATCCCTGCCTCACCTTCGTGACGCCCTGCCTGCTGGCCGGGGACCGCTCCCTGGTAGACGTCATCATCCACGAGATCTCCCACAGCTGGTTTGGCAACCTGGTCACCAACGCTACATGGGGCGAGTTTTGGCTGAACGAGGGCTTCACCATGTACGCCCAGAGGCGCATTTCCACCGAGGTCTATGGTGCGTGGCCTTGCCCGGCTGCGGAGTGCGGAGTCCCCATGTGCGGCCGTGCCACCGCAGGCAGGACCTGTGCGGGTCCAGGGTCCTGTGGCTCAGCGCGTCTCTCCGAGTGCTGTGCGCGGGGCCAGAGCCTGCACTGCATCTCGGAAGAGGTGAAGAGCAGCAGCCTGCAACGCCCCGGGGCTTTCGCATTAGCAACAGAACCGCCTTTGCTCTGAGAGAGGGACGGAGCGCCCACAGCCCCGTGCCAGGGACGTGGGTGCTGCGATCTTGCCCAGCCTCACCTTCCTCTTGCTCCCGCAGCTCCCTCAGGGAGCTGATACCAGCTGCCCTGAGCTCCCCCCTGGACACAAGCGTCACATCCAGCAGCTCAGGCGCTCCCAGCAACATTTGCTGCACCCAGACAAATTGAAATGGCTCTGAAAAACCTCCTGCTAACCGAGGGCTGGCTTGCCGTACTTCTCTGCAGCTCTACCATCTCAGTGCCTTTTTATCGGTTTTCTCCTCTCCCAGCTCATAAGCTAACGCTGTTTCCCCCTGCTAGCAGCACCCCTTGCGCTCGAAGTGTACAGGGGTCTGGTCAGGGTCTCCCAACGCCTCCTGCTTGTCTCTGCCCAGGTTTGGCGTACACCTGCCTGGAGGCTGCGACGGGAAGGGCCCTCCTGCGCCAGCACATGGACAACACAGGGGAGGACCATCCGCTCAACAAGCTGCGGGTGGTCATCGAGCCAGGTCTGTGGGGCGTCCCCGTCCTCCCGCAGCCGGCCGGGGTGCAGGGGCAAGCGAGTTGTGGTGTCAGGGCGGGAAGCCCTGCTGCTGGGGTGTTCAATGGCTTGCAATAAAATCAGCACTGGTGGTGGGACCTGAGTGAGGCGATGGCTCCAGGAGGGATGTGACAGGCTTGCACCCAGCACAGAAAGCAGAAATTTGGGTGCGTGTGAGGGCTGTTTTGTTTTGCAGATGGGCAGATGATTCCTGAGGGTTTTCCTTTTTTCTAGGTGTCAATCCGGAAGACACGTACAACGAAACGCCCTACGAGAAGGGGTACTGCTTCGTGAGCTACTTGGCCCATCTCGTGGGGGACCAGAGCAAGTTCGATGCCTTCCTCCAGGTCAGTATGAGGGGGTACCGGATGGAGGTGCCAAGTCAGACAAAACCCCGCAGTGGGCAGCCAGGGCGCAGCGGGACCCCGGGAAGGACAGGCTGAACAGGGTGGCTGAGTGGGAAATGGGGATGTTCACAGGGGAATGAGGGCAGAGCTTGGCCCTGCGCTGGCAGCAGGTGAGTCAATGCTCAGAGGTGTCCTGGGGCCTGTGGGGGGCTGGGCAGCTGGGGGGGTAACGGGGGCCAGCGTGGGCTCGGCAACGCTAACCCCCGTGAGATGGACCATGCGGGGGATGGGCAGCACTGCTGGGGGTGAGCACGTGTGGCATCACGCCCCGGCCGTCCCGGCAGGCCTACGTGAACCAGTTCAAGTTCCAGAGCATCACAGCGGATGACGCCCTCAGTTTCTTCCTGGAGTACTTCCCGGAGCTGAAGGAGAAAGGCGTGGACTCCATCCCAGGTCAGCACGGCGCCTTCCTGGCCAGGGGACTGGAGCGCCGCTTTGCAAACCAGTGCCCGTGGGCGTCGGAGCCGTCCCATGTCCCGTGTAGACCCTGTGCGTGTTCGTTTGTGGGTTTTACTGGAGATGCTCCTGACGCTACTGGCCTCGGCCAGGAAGCAGCGCAGCGCTGGCCGGCCGGGGATCAGGCACTAACCTGGGCTCGGGTGTGCGCCTGCTCAGCCTGATTTTTTTTTTCCATCCAGTCCGTGCTCTGCACTCAGGTTTCCCCATGGACAGCTGAGCCTGGCCAAGCCTCTAGCACCATGATATGAGCGTTTGCTGGGGGAGCTGCTGGCGAGCACTGGGCTCGGGCTCAGCTGGTGCCCCAGACTCAGCTCAGCCTTGCTGCGGAGAGCCGGGCTTGGCAGGAGCTC